TACTTCTGTAGCAACATCCCCCTCACTCTTTCAAATATACAGGACTTGTTGGTCTGTTACGTGATTGTTGTGAAGCCGAATAACCCGAAAGTTACAGGTAAAGTCAAAAGCTTTTACTTATATACTTTATCTTTCTGTTCTGTGCTTTCTACTGTCTTTTGCCGTTAGTCTATTGGACAAAACTCCACTGTCTCTTATCATTTAATCATCGGTGTTATTTTAGGAGTAAAATGACGATGAATTCTCACCCCAAGATAAGTAATGGGAGACCATACACCGTAGTCACCAGAGCTTCAGCCAAATTAGGCAAACAGGTGAAGGTGATGGAATCTCGCATACCGGTCTTGAAGACCAGGGTAAATATTCCCTGCGTGAACAGATTGTCTACGTCGCCGCAGTCCTACAGTGAAACTGTGAAAAGTCAACTAAGCGGATGTGGCTCCATCCCTGTTAACACGACTAAGTTAATGGAGGCGAGTGGTAAATCTGCACAAAGTGGGAATAGTATGACACCTATATCCACAGTAGGCCTTGAAACAAACAGGAAGGCCAATAAGAAACGTTCACGACGTCGCAAGACGGCGAAAACGTTCCCCAAAAAGGCAGACGATTGCAAGGTCTGAAATTCTATCGTCGAACAAGCAGACTCTGCTTTCGAATGTAACTTTTGTAAGCAATGGGTACATTGTAGATGTGACACCGGAGTACCAAAGGTATATTACGATTTTATGCGTAAGAACCCATGCCCATGGTTCTGGTACATATGCCCAAGTTGCCGTCCTAATGCAGCCTCGTGTAGTTCCTCGAAAGCTACAGATGGCATAGAGATATCAGGAAAAAACGTGAAACGTTTTACTCCCATCAACTCAGAAAACAGCACAATTGCATGTAAATCGGGGATACCAAAATCCACACCGGTTATACTTGCAGTTCCTGCCATAACTGCCCCAGACACAGAGGTTGAAGCACCAAGGGTATCTGTCGCTGGGAAAAGACCCTTACCGTCCACCAGTAAAAGTGGCCACAGCATTGCGACACATAATAATACCCAGTTGCACCAGACGAAACAAAACGGTCTTAAGGGGGATGACAAATGTGCGAGGACCGAACCTAAATCCACGGTCAGTCGATCAAACTGCGTTATCCTCTTTAATGTACCACGCTGTAGCAGTAGTCTGCTGGAAAACAGGGCCCTGTTTGATCAGGAACAGTGGTCCAACTTGTGTAGCACACTGGGTCTGGACATCCAACCAGTAAAACTGTGCAGATTGTATAAGGGCACTGCTGCTCCTCAAGGCAAACCATCCCCACTGAGGGTAAAACTAGGCTCTGCCGAAGATGCCGACAAAGTTTTATTGACTTCCCAAGTCCTTTCTATAGGGAGGACCTGCAATATACGTGTTAGGCCAGATAGGCCATGGAAGGAAAGACAGATGGCGAGGGAGTCGCCAGAGCTTATTCCTTCTGCCTCCATGGTTGTTCACGGCATTCCCGAACTGGGAACTGGGAACGCTTGTGAGAAGCACTGTCACGATGTACAGCAATGGAGATGGTTGGCATCCCAGATGGGTCTGGGAAGTTCAGGGGCTGTCTCTATTTTTAGACTGCCTCGACCCACTCACCTGATGTCAACTAACACTCCACGTCTGTTAGCTGTTAAGTTCAGTTCCCGAGACCACTTGACTACTGCTCTCCAGAGATGGTACGAGACCAAGGACAAGGTCAGCAGACACATTCGCTGCTGCGAGAGCCGGCCTCGTACCCAAAGGAGAGAACAAAACGTTGTCATAGAACTCGAAAATCATAATACTGACGGAAACCTGGCTAACCCCTACGGTGGCAGACAGCGAAGTCAGTATAAATGATATGGTCCTTGTCAGGCGAGATAGGGATCTGAAAGAAGGAGGTGGAGTCGCCATATACGTCGACAAACAGCTCAGATGTGTCCATGCAATCGACCCTCCCCTCATTGAGCTCCCTGACTCCATATGGTGCCATTTCACCGTTGGGTAATGTAAGTATCTAGTGGGCAGCATTTACAGATCACTTTCATGTGGAGCAGACCACAACCAGGTACTGCTGAATGCAATTTCAGCGACACATGACATGGGTTATGATCAAATGGTCATAGCTGGAGACTTCAATGTCCCATCTCTTAACTTGATGACGGGATGTGTCCAGGACAGATTTGATCGAAATCTGCTGCATACCATCAGGGAGGCCGGATTCACCGAAAATGTCAGAATGGATACTAGATGGGGCCCAGATGGGAAGTCTTCTAGACTGGATTACGTGCACACTAGTGACCAGCTACTAGTGGAAAACGTTCAGATCACGACTCCCATAGGTAGTAGTGACCACGCGGTCATAACATTCGACATAGTCCTCCACGAGCGTTTACAGTGGGACAATACACAGCCCTATCTGTGTTATAACAAAGCCAATTACACCGAAATGCGAGGACTTTTGTCTGAAGCAAATTGGCCGAAAAATTGGACAGAGCTTACAGTAGAAGAACACTGGGGAGTGGTAAAGGCGATCATTCACCAGGCGGTTTCAGACACTGTTCCTTTAGTCACACCAAAAGCTAGAAAGCAACGTTCATGGCTAAAAAGGGGGACACAATGCCTTCTACAGGCGAAGCGAAAAGCCTGGTTTGCGTGGCGAGTATCGAAGAGTCAACCCGAACATGAAGTGTACCTCGAACTCAGGAATCGATGCAACATACGAGTCCGGAGTGATAGAAGGACATTTCAGAGAAACCTCGCCAATAAGCTTCTCGTGAACCCCAAAAGCCTATACAGGTTTGTGTCTGAAAGAAAACCGACCAACCAGGGAGCTTGCAATCTAGTGGGTTCTGATGGGAAATCTCTTACTAGTCTTGAAATGGCAGAGACATTCAGTCTAGCCTTTCACCGGCAACTGAACAGTAATGAGGATTTTACCCCCACAAAACATCAAGATTACAATGCAAGACCAACGTGCGAAAACCTGCTGGGTACATTTCAAATTACCCCGGCTATGGTACTCGTAAAATTGGGAAAGTTGGCTTCGGGAAAGTCTGCAGGTTGCGATGACATAAGACCATCCGTCCTGAAGCAGTGTTCAGAAAGTCTCTGCCAACCCCTAAGTGATCTGTTTCAACACTCCTTTGATGTAGGGAAACTTCCATGTGAATGGAAACGAGCCATCCTATCCCCTATCTTCAAGGGTGGTGACCGGCAGAACGCGACCAGTTACAGACCAGTTGCGCTACTCCCAGTGATATCGAAGATATTGGAAAGTCTCATTGACGACCACATGAGAAAATACTTCGACGGGACTAACCTACTCTATGAAGCACAGCACGGTTTCAGGAGGGGAAGATCCTGTGTGACGAATCTTCTACTAGCTTGGAACGATTGGACACTATCCTGGGATGTAAAGGTACCAGTCCATGTGATCTTTCTCGACTTTGCGAAAGCATTCGACACACTTCACCATGGTCTGCTCCTTCACAAAATAAGCAAAGCGGGTGTTTCTGGAGCACTTCTCGCATGGCTGAAAGATTATTTAGGCGAGAGAGAATTTGCACCAAGCCAACCGCATCCGATCATCCTGGCACACCTCGGCATCAGGGGTTCCTCAGGGTTCTATCTTAGGACCGTTAATGTTTTTGATTTTTATCAATGACCTGCCCTGTCAACTGAATTGCTCTGCGCTTCTTTACGCTGACGACGTAAAGATTTGGAGAGCAATAAACTCATCGGAAGACTCCGACAGATTGCAGGCTGACCTGCAAACTCTAGGAGACTGGGCTCTGGCTAACGGAATGCCTTTCAACTTAAAGAAGTGCAAAGTAGTGCAACTTCATTCCGGCAGGTCACAGAGTGCAATTGCCATCAGACGGTCTGGCCTTATTTTAAGAAAGCTAGACACAGTGTAAATGAACGAGACGTCGAAGCTTACCACTTTACACTTTATGCATAGGCAGCTGGGAGCTCTTACTCCTGAACTATTCCTAACGTTGTATACGACATACGTGAGGCCACTCCTTGAGGTGCATAATATCATTGCTCCTCCGCTACTCAAAAGGGATGCTAACATTCTAGAAAGTGTCCAGAGACGAGCGACAAAATGGGTGATCGGCCTCTGCAACAAATCATATGAGGAAAGACTGAAGAAATTAAGTCTTTTCACACTTAGTTACCGTAGTCACAGGGGAGACCTCATCACCGTCTACAAGATCTTAAATGACCAGGCCCATCCTAATAAGAGCATCCTGCCATTAAGTGATTATAGGCTTCCACGAGGTAACCCGCTAAGCATAGCACACCAGAGACCAAGGACTCGAGTGCGTTCACATTTCTTTTCGCTTCGAGTTTGCCATCTCTGGAACGCTTTACCGGCGGCCGTAACTACAGCTCCATCTGTGGAGACTTTTAAGCGGAAGCTGGACAATCATGCAGAAATGCATGGTTTGTGTCTCAATGGATTACCCTCTTAAAATTTGAAACCACATTGTCAATGGATAAGCATACAAGCTAAATCCCCACGACCCGTCCTGTCTTCTCCCACTGTACCGACTACTCTATCTTTTCTTTCTTTCTTTATTATTTCACCTTTATTATTTCACTTATCTCAACCTATATTATCTACACTACAACCTACTATTATTATCATTATTATTATTATTACTATTCTACTTTTATGACTATACCGAATGACCAACGGGTGTTAGGTCAAACTCCATTCACGGCAGCAGCTGAGTCCTAACATACTGCACACTACAAACCACAATCTTGACCAATCCTCGCACCACTCCTCTTGGAGTCTACCAGAGCTAAAGCAGTGGAGTGGCGGGATTTACTACGCATAAGTTAACCGAAGATCTGGAACCTCTACCTTACAATCAAGAAGCGAGCTCAAAGAAATCACTGGTTTATACTAGCTCGTAATCAGGATATTGGATATTGGATATATTGGTTTATTTTGGAGGGCATTTGAATGTAGTCGTTACAATGTCATATGCTTCTGAACAAGATATTCAGTGGCCTCCTAATCGGTCGGATATATTTGTCGTTATATGGAAGCAGCATATCTATCTATTTCGAATAGAAGAACCAACAAATGCCGCTGATAATACGAAAAGTAGTTTGTCCTGACGCTTATATCCCCGTTAACCTGAAATTCGCAGGTTTCATCATAGGATCAAAGTGCAAGTTTCTAATTTCTGTATCCAATATCTGGAGCAGTAATATATTTCCACAAGTTCGTTCTTTAGCTTTAATCATTTTTTGCTTTAAGTGCGTTGCGTGGGTTTCCAGTACGAATAAAGCGAGCCTTGATGTAGTTCCGGATCATTTGATTGCTGTTACTCTCAGTGGTGGATGTATAAGACTTATAGGGTAGGTTGTACATGGCGTTTAGAAGAGTTTAGAGGCTTCCTGAATCAAATGTGGAGGAAGACAGATTTGGTTTGCAAAACAAAGAGTTAGGTAATTCCTACGTTTTATCCTAACTTTTCATAGCACCTAGATTTACAAGAAATACCATCTTCCTTGCTTGGAACCCGTGGAAACGTAACTTGGTGAGTATTTTTTCTGTTCTATATTTTTGTTGTGATTACCTCAGGTAGCTAAGTATTAATTGTCGTAGCTGTGGGGTAGATAATCAAGTCTTCATTTACGATATCGCCTTTACATACCACTAGATATTTTTGCAACACAAAATCAAGTCGTTTTTAATGAGCAGCGAATCGGTTGTTTTTATGTTTAGTGTAGTTATGTTCTTGGCCATCACTTGGAAAGTCACTATATTTCATTGGATCTATTACTAATTTAGACTTATGTGATTATATCATAGGTCTGACTTTACGTGTCCAAAGTGGCTATTTCAAGTTCTTAGTGCATTACTATTTCTGGAAACAGCTATTATTTTTTAACTACCGATAATTTGCATTTACATAATTCCGTTTTATGTATACTTTCTCCCTTGAAACAGTTAGCTCAAGGTTTAGACAAACCCCGAAATAGCAGAGAACCTTCAGTACTAATATGGGATGTAACGAAGTATACCGGTTCACGCCCGGTCAACACTAAGTCTGCTGAGCGGGATCCAGTTTGCGCTAGTGGTCTACATGCACATTCATATTCTCTGCCGTTCGCACTTACTGGTTTGGATTACAGTGCTTCAGATTCCAATACTTTGTATCCATTAGTTTCTATATATTCTTCAAAAAAGGAGTGGATATCTGACATAACTACATGTGATAAGTCTCTGTGTGACATAGGTATGTTGTGTATTCTCATTTTACATCTCGTTTTGATATATTTGTATAACTGGTGTCATTTTACTCTGACATGTAAGTTTTGCTAGGTGGTAATATTCAAAAGTTCATTGTAGATAAGCTTACAATGGTTTCATCCTAAGCTGTCAGGTGTTATTGTAAGCCTTTAACAGTGACACGTATTTTGGTAAATAAGAACATATGATAATTGAGTTATATCACTTTTATTACCTTTATTTTAGTAACATCTCTCCCTTCTGTGTTACGCTATATTAGAGAACGAAAGTGTGATTAATTATCTTCCTGAAGCTGCTTTGTCTGGGTTTAATGTTTTGCGCCTTAAGTTTCATGGTTATTGCCCAAGACTAAGATTAATTTAGTAATCGAATAATGAAGCCACTGCGAACCCAAGAAAGAAGTATGTTGTCATTTTTCAACGTAAAACTGCACAAAGTGCAGCAGTCCAAGTTACAGACAAAGGCAGCTAAAATTAATCCAAAGGAAATATAATGAAAGGATGCGTACTGGAAAGAAAATAAGTACATGGAGAATAATGAGAACTTGGTGATATGGGAGTTCATAAACAATAGATGCATCTAAGCCATCGACAACGATTTTGAGCCGTGCAACCAATGTTCTTCAGTTATTAATTCTTATCTTTCTGATAACCACAGCCTGGCAGTCTATACCTCCCTACGTGGCTAGAACCAACAGACAAGGACTTCATGGACTGATGCGAAGTTTTCAGTTGATCAACCGTAGCACTTCCCCAATCTAATCTTATGTCAGCTAGCATTGCCTGACGTGAAAGGTGATAGCCTGGTATGCATGACACGTGTCATAGCCAACTTAATCGATGCAGCTTCACAACCCCATCGATTGATTTTCTATCCTTAACTAAGACTATGCACCTAACCTCAATATTCCTCATCGTATTATACTGCCTAACACGAGAGATGGAACACAGATACCTATTATCAAAGATAACTAGCCTTTTTCATGTCTTCTACTTTCAAAGGCGAACTGCTACGCAGTATACTCATCCTTTGATCAATGACTGGATATCACGTCTAAGCCAGAGATAGCATAATTTGGCAAGTGTCACATGAGCCTTTTGTTCTCCTGCTGAGGTTTCGTCAACAATCAGCCCGTTAAAGCTGATACAGCTACCCAAATAAGGGAAGTGGTCGACACCCTCAAACACTTCACTCCCTATCTTTAAGCTAAGAGTCGATGTAGTCCAGTCCTGGCTAGAGTGAATCGCATGCCAAACATTCGAAGATTGTCGCTCAAGGTGTCCTGGAGACTGCATTTCATTTTCACCTGGGAGGCCTATATCATCCGTGTATTGTAAGTCAGCAAGATTATTCCCTCGTAAAAAGTCAGTTACGGTCGATTTCACTAGTACATCTACGATCAAGTTAGATATGGGGACAGTGAGCATCCCTGACAGCCATCAGAAGCCCTTACATGGCCGCATGAATTCCAGTAGAGTGCACTGGCTAGCGTGATGTGCTTTGTCGGCATTCCACGGTCAGATATTACCACAGCATCTCTCGGTTGATGAAGTCAAATGTCGCTTTCAGATCAAGAAATATGGCGATTGTTGGATGCCGGTAATTATGCCTATGTCGTGGAATTTGTTGAAGGCCGAAATATGACCAATACACTCTCTGACCTAAATCCTGACGCGCTCTCAAGTGCTTGCTTCTCCTGAACACCGCCCAGTTTGCGTATGATTGTTGAACCTAGAATTTTAGATACCTTGTTAGTCAAGTTAATGGCTTTTTGACTACCATAGGAAGACTTGTCTGCTTCCGTAAAAACTGGGATAGTCAGTAATTCACAACAGTCCAACGGGATTATCTCGTATTCTCACACACTACCTAATATCTTAGCTAACCCAGGCAACAGTTTGTCAACACTGTCCTTAAATATCTCTGGAGTCATTCTCTCAAGTCCTGCTACTTTGCCTAGATTCACAGTAGAGAGGACAATCTATGTTCACATCCCATACAAGTAAGTGTTAGTTGCTAAGTAAAGTTATCGTGGCTGTAGGGCGGTTAAGCTGCTCTTCAAAGTGTTCCCTCCAACGTTCCAGTCTTCTATCCTGAAGGGTAAAGTGTCTAGCTTATAACTGGCTTTTTCTAACCACTTCCCCTAAAAGGGCCTAAGTAGTTGTCTGGTGTTGCCTATCGCCGATGACTTTCCCACCTCTTTCCCTTTTTTCTCCTACCACTTTTCACGGCCGTTACGAAAACTTTTTGTCAGTTTGCGTTTGAACAGCTTTCGCTCTTCAGCAAATTCGGGTCTATCAGTTCGGATAAAGCTGGAGAGATCCACTGGCATTTACTACCCGTTGGTTTCACGTTATCAACAGCCTTTTCTGATTATCTTACAGCTGACTGGATAGCATACCAGACTTCCTCAGAATGAGTCTTGCTACCAATCCTGGATGCGCGTCTAGTTATTTATTATCTAAATAAAGACTGTGTTCTCATCAATTCCGTTCAGTCGTAGGCATATATGTGTACGGACCAGAGTGTGATCAGAGTCCACGTAGGTTTTACAGAAGCAGTAATAGTCTTCTGCTAGTCCTGTCCATCTATAGCTTATAATCGCGTGATCTATTTGAGTCCATCGTTGATTTAATAATGGAGGTCACCAGGCTAGGCAGTGAAGTTAATTACTGACAAGGAACAAATGGTTGTCCGAAAAGAACTGCAAAAGAATATAACCGTTGTCGGTTCGTCGGCATGGAACTCTATAGGTGCTACCAATGTAATTCCCAAACTGACACAACTTCCCTAATTGAGCATTCCAGCTACCTGCTAGAAAGACTATATCTGAGCGCTTTGATTTTTGCAGCAAACTAGACAACTTTTGATAGAACTCATCCTGCGCTTCGTCCGAACCGCAATCTGTTGGGGTGTAAGGAGAAATTACGAAAAGACATAGACGGGTATCATAATCTTTCCTTCTAATGCATCCGTTCAGCTTGACTGCACACACACAAATATCCACTAGAATCCATTTAGGCAGAAATATTTCTTGCCTAGCACTTAATGCTATTCATACACCAGTGAGTCTCCGCGAACTAGTCGAAGAATCTCCTGACAACCGCATGGTGGATTCTACATATTTACTTTGTTGATCATGTAGACTTAGGTCAATAGCTACGCTAGGCCCTTGTTTGTGTTTCTCTGGAACGCAGTATACATCCATGTCTTGGGATGCCAGAGCTCTGGTTAGTGAGGCCGGTTTTCCGATAGGCTCCAGTATGAATTTGGCGTCTTGGTGTTTGGAGACTATCTGTAGTGTTTTTACAGGTCTCAGAGTTAAGAGAAAACGGAGAACTTAACTGTAGAATAGTATTAACAATAGGAGGGAAGCAAGATGAAGGTGGGTGACTACCAGGAAAGCCTTGTGCGTGTTTATTGCTTCTCTGCTGCCCATATCGTGGAAATTGATATTTTCTTGAAATACGTGAAGTAGAAGGACCACTAGCGTTACGTGACTACAGAGTCCAGGGGACAATTGCTTAAGGTTGGTCACACACTGCTCATTTTGAAGTTGTTTTTGGGGTTGTGTTCGTATTAAGATCTTACCTCTGGCTACGAACCACCACTAAGAAAGTCGTGATGTACACTTTTTGGGATTAGCCTCTTCTATCACGTCCTCTCCAGAGCGGAGAAGCAGTATTAGCTGCTACCTTACGACTGTTACATTGCTGTTCACCATCGATAAGACGTTGCCGTCATTCCCCCACCATAGTGTAGGCGACTTGCACTATGACGATAACTGTTTTGAACTGTCGACGCAACCTTTCTGACATGGTTAGATCTGCAGGAGTATTTGTTCCAGCTGGCATAGCTCAAGGGGTCGTTGTGATATGCAAGCCGGACCACCACCTCGGAATAGCGATTATCAGTTGGAGAAGGGCTTTACTTATATTTTCAGAAATCTGGGAAAATGGTCAAGAAGTATCAACTGTGATATAAAAACTCAAGGTAATCATCTAAAACGACTCCATTTTGGTAACCACTTTGATTTGTGGGATTTGGCTTGTTCCCTCTAACAAAGACAAATACTTTAAGTAGCTCCAAGAGACAAAGATCATGTCGGTAGGTTAGGCCAATGAAGAATAGAAGATAGTAAGTAAGATCACTTCATGGAAGTATTACTACTGAAATGTGTAGATCAAGTCCCATGTAACTGCCGTACCCTATAGTTATACACTGTGTGATAAGGCTCCAAAATGATCACAGATGCAAATTTATGTATACTGGATCTTTATTTTAATTTTAATATCACATTTCCTTGTTTACGTCATATTGTTTTTTCGTTAAGTACTCTATAAACTTCGATTGTATTATTTCCACTTGTTTCTCTGGTGTAAACATACGAAGTTCAGCAAATTGAACCACTACTCAGTAGTGATAGGTGGTGCTATGTTTATAATACCTGTTTTCCTGTTAAAATCGGCGGGAATGCAGCTACTAACATTGTTTCATTGATTTGTGAGAGTGCATTTGAAGTCAAATGTCGTAGAAATGTCTTTTGTTTTGAGAACCTGGCAATATATCATTCTTTACTTAAATTATTGGGACGTATAATAAGATTAAAATTCACAAGGTAGTTAAAAGCAACTGCTGCAGACTCTAGATGTAATGACTTGAAACTGTTTGAGTCGTAGCAATTATTTTCATGTATTGTGTAGACTTTATTCTTTCAAAGCTTTTTACTATTAATCACAAAATAATTCCTACTTGTTCTCCTTTAATATTTATTGTGATTCATTTTGAATCGTATCACAATGGTGTGAAGTATTATTTTCATAATATTTATTTGTAATATGGCAAAATGTAAAGCAGTCAGTGGTGCTTCCTTGCTTAGAGTTCTCTAGTATTATATGTCAATCTCTTTCGAAGCTTTGTAGTTGACATCACTTACAGTAGTATCTATCAAGCCAACTGCTCTATGGAGAATTAAATAAATTCATCCTTAAATTTACTGTTGCACTGCTGTTATGTCAATGAAGGACCCGAGTAACAACTACTGTTCTTGTATCACTCAACTTAAAAGCTGTGTGTTACATTCTTGCTTTATTCGATATTTGATTATAAGTTAGTAAGAATAATCTTAAAACTTCTCTTCTATTTATTGACAGTATATATATATATATATATATATGTATATATATATATATTACTGGTTGTTATTTCATGACTGATTATATACACAAACCTTTCATTTTCTCAAGGGATACAAGATACTGTGTCATCATTTGCATGGCTTTCGAAAAGTTCCTTCATTGCAGGGATGTCAGGCACGTACTTGAAAGTGTTTGATCTATCTGGTACGTTTCTGAACACTTTTTTCTGTAATATGTTGTTTATTTTGTGGTAACAGCGGGTTCCACCAAGTCAGTTAAGAGATCAGTTACTCACCTAGGACATAGGCTTGTGGTTGCGCTATATATATGTATATATATATATATATAATATATATATATATGTATTGGCAGAAGTTGGAATTCATGGGCGATTGAATCGGGTCCCAGTGGCTGAATGGTCCACGAGCTCGCCCTGTAACCGGAAAGTCTTGGATTCGAACCCCAGTGGTTGCATACTTTGAAGAGTTACAAATTAGAACGAGACAACTGTCCAGTACTCCCACGTTTTCCAATGGCTCTCTAACCAATGTCAACTAGTGATCAAACCTGTAACCAATGAAATCCTTGCAAATCAACACTTGATACTTTTTGATAAATAAATATTAGTGAGTTCATCGCTTTACACATACGCAAAGTCTTTAAAGAACTTTGTAGACATATACGTAACTGTAAGAATAAAGGACAAAGTTATACTCCTTCAATTATCGCTTAATTATGTAAATGTTTGTATGGAATTCGATCAGTGCTGTCATTTCGCTACATACCGCATTATATTTTCAAAATGGTTTTGTGGCTCACCACAGAGACTTCATTGATAGCAACTTCTTTTTTCATCGGCAAACTGTTGGCTCTTGTAGGTTGTTTGTTAAGGTATCTGAGAAGTCAACCTCAAGATTCGATTTCAGTTACTGTCAAAATCTATATGTTTCAATCTTTGCTCCAATGCTGTCTTATAGTTTGAATTTGAACAAAGTGACTAGTTTCCGGCGTCAGATTAATATACATTTAATGAGGTATAATTGAGCAGCTGTAGTGTGTTAACGTAATGTCTTCCTAATTACAGTGAAACTCAGACCTGTTTAACGGTCCTGTTTGGTGATTCGATTAGCATACTGCCGCATTCTACTTCCATTTGCTGTCCATGTGTGTGTAGATAAGCGGGTCTAAAAGAAATAGTGTTACTAATGTTAAGATAAATATTGTCATGAAAAAAAATTAAAGTTACTTAACTTCATATTGAAATTACTCTAAGGAAAACGTAAGCGCTTCATTTCTTGTATGATTGAAACCATTGATCAATTCATTATCATATGTTTGAAACTGAATTATCCCTTTGTAAGATAAGTTATCCACTTTGCGTGTCTTTCTAGCTTGTTAAGGGCATAGTAAATTTGTCTATGATGATATCCATAACTATTTCATGAGGTTTTGTTGACTATTTTAGTTATAATGTGCTAATTTTCTTCTTTTTATTCAATATATAGACCCTTCAAAAGCTTCTCAGACCGTTACCACTAGGGCAGTGAATGGTTTAACAGTTGATCCGTTATGCAGTAAACGTTTCGCTTCATTTTGTGAGGTATTTTTTTTATCGAATATTTAGTCGCTTAAAAGATGAATATTTCTTTGAATTATTTTATCATCCCTAAGTTATACCACCATGTGGGACAAATATAAACTAGTATAAAACGTGATTCGAAATAGAAGAAATGGCAGTTATACGAGGAACATTTGTAGTTCCTAATGACTACCCTTCCTAACGATCTACATATCAGGGGAAATTGAAGAAATAACAACAGATTATTAACTTGCACTCCCCCCCCCAATGAAAGCAATTTAGTTTGCAAAATCACTGTAGCAGATGAAAAATCCCATATTCAAATCAAAACAAGATTTTGAGCGAACAATTGTTTTCGAAAACTTCTTCTTCAGGCTCTACAGTTATAAATCCATGTATAATAGAGTACATATAGCCAATAAAGGCAAATGAAAACAATATCAGAAACTGTATTGGGGTGTATGTGTAAGTTGAGATGATAGTCCATTAGTTAACATAGTCAATCAAAGGTATATAGGGTGTATAGTCAGAAAAAATGTGATGTAATGTGAATAAACAATTGGGTAATAAAGTGCTGTTTTATAACCAACAGAATACAAGTGTCATTGGGGTGAGAGAAATGCGATAACCACAAAATACATATAAACACACATTATATTACATATTCCCATAGTAAAATTTAGAACAACACATTTAAGCGAACAATATTGTTTTCAATTAGATCTCATCAGGCTTAACTCTAATATACATAAGTTTACAAATAAAAATTCAAATATAAACCAATCATGGTGTTTTGTCTATAGGATAATAAGATGGTGAATATAAATTGTGCAATTAGTCATAATAGCAGTAATGATAATAATAATAGTAATAATAATAATATCTTATCACATCTTCATTATAAACGTGTTTCATTTACTTCCCTTACAATCTAACATTACTTAATCGGTTCATTTGTTTTTACTGGCCTTTATCAACTACTTCCTCCTGAATAGTTGTTTGTTTTATCATGCTGTTTTTTCATTATTCGTGTTATCACAGATTGCCTCACCTTTTCATCCTTATGATTAATAAGGCCATTCTTATTATTATCATTATTACTATTATGACTTATTGCACAATTTATATCCACCATCTTATTATCCTATAGACAAAACACCATGATTCGTTTATATTTGAATTTTTATTTGTTAACTTATGTATATTAGAGTTAAGCCTGGTGAGATCTAATTGGAAACAACAATATTGTTCGCTTAAATGTGTTGTTCTAAACACACATTAACAAAGGTGGCAATGAATGTGAGGGCTGACCGATAATGTCTAATGATAAAATAAAGAGGCTAAATTGTGATAAGATGTTGCAGAATTGGTAGGCTTAGTATAAAATCACAAAGGTTGACAAAAAATTAAGGGTAACAATGGGGTGAAACAAACTGGGTGGAGAAATGGATAATAAAGACATGATATCACAAAATAATAATAGTAATAATAATAATACGAAAAATTATGATCCTGGTGACCTTATAATGGGCCAGGGTAGACAGAGAGAGTGAGTAAGTTTTTTATGTACACATAGGTCTGGTCTCTCTCTATTATTCTCTAAAGCCTCAGCTATGGCTAGGAGCCGTAATCGTATGCCTTTGGGGAGATTGTTCGGTATTCGATACACAACTGTAAATGACTCATCTACTTTGATGCAGTATTCGCTATCCACTAGATGAGACAGAATTGCACTATTTAATAATATGGTTGCTCTTTTCCCAAGCCAAACAGGAATATGTTCACGAGTGCGTAAAGATAAATTCCTTTGGGTACGACCTATATGACTAGCTCCACAGGAGCAGTTGAATTTATATACACACATTGATGTCGCCATTTTGGGTAATCTATCTTTAGTGCACAGTGTCAACATCGGTTTGGTTGAGAAACTGACATGTAGTTTTGCGGCATTAAAAGTTCTTTCAATTGATCTCGTTAATCTACAGTTTAATATATCGCTGGATATATCGCCTTTGAATTGTACATTTAAGTAAAGCTTTTACTTAATAATAATAATAATAATCACTTTATTCCACAACAATAACAATTTACAGCATGGAATTTTCAGCGTTTCTTTTACATATTGCAATGGTTTAGCTCTGTTTATAACTATATAAATGTATAAAATGTTAAAATATTGATAGTTAATAGGAAAAAATAAAACCCCAACAAAATCACACCATTGCTAGGTCATAGTGAATAATAAATAAATAATATAACAAATAACACATGCATTAATATGCATCATTACATTTTATAGTTTAGTTAATGATTTAAAAGTTGTAAAAGTTCTTTTCTGATATTCGTCTCTTCACACAATACTCGTGCCAAATATGGTACGGTCGAATTTTTATATTTTGTAGTACGAGCATAAATGTTTATGAAATTTCTTCTGGTCTTACCCGAAGAGATACAAGGAAACAATTGTGAATAAAGAGGATGTTCACTATCAGACAAGATAACTTTAGCTAAGTGTTTACGAGAATTCATATGCCTATTGACAACAGTGTCAGTTAGTTGAGTCAAAGGGATAGCACTGACCCTACTTATAGCCTTCAATGTTCTTCATAGTATTATATGGTCTTTCTTGAGTAGCCCAGGGAAGAATAATGGAGAACAATAAAGAATGATGGCCAAAACACATGAATTAATAAATTGTATG